AATTCTTAAACCCAGAAAAAAATCCAAACCTCGGCACAATCCTATCGGCCTATCTCTCTTATGTCCTGCATTCTTAAAACCTTAGAACGAATCATGGTGTAAGGATACAGGTGAAGCGGTGCGCAGGTTTTATGACGTCAACATGGGTATTGCCACGGCCGCCTATACACTGCCATGCCATTCCATGTTCCATGGCTTTGTTTACATTTTGTGATGATTGTCAAGAAGTTTAATTTTTATTTCCTAGTTCTATAATCATTATAAAACTGAAAATATATTTAGAAGAAAATAACAACTGCGTCAAATAACATCAAGTTATGCTCAATAATACAAGAAAAGTCACTATAGACAGATAGACGCTTGTGCAAAAGTAATGCCAAATAAAAAAAATATTTTGTGCTTTTATACAAAAAAAAAAGGTTATTTCGAATTTAGCCATGGTGTAAGGAATTTAGCCTAATATAGTTTCTCTTTGGCGTAAAAAAGATAGTTTTCATCTGAAACTGAATTTTTCCATCACAAAACTTGGAAGAGGATGTTACATCTAGGATTTAAATCTTCATACCTAGCATTGCTATCTGATAGATTGAGATCAAGATGATAGCCAAAACGTACCTAAACTTACAGAGACATTACTATTAAAAAGTTTTAGTGGCTCAGTACAGATAAAAACTGGAACTAATAAAAGGCATATACAAATAACTAATTTAAATGTGAAACTGAAATATGTAGTGTCCCTTGTATTGTGTATAGTGGAAAAATGTTTAACCTTTTGCCAATTAATTAATAATAGGAAGTGCTGACTCATTAAATATGTTTAAAAAGCAAGAAACTCTTGCTCAAAAAGGTATACTACAAAGTGGATAAATTTTTCTATGATTCCTTGAATTAAGTAGTTCATTTTAATTTATGTGTATACTCCTGTATATATATATATATTTCTCGATTGTCATATTTGTACTTAGGTTGTGCATTTTTGTTTTTATATTATATTTTGTCTTGATATTAGAATTTAAAAAATTTTAAAATAAAAAATTTCATTTATGAATATTTTGTTTGTTTCTTTTCCTTTGAATTTTAACTTATGTTATCTATCTTTGTTAATAATGTTAATAATAAGAATGTAATTAATTCTTCAACAATAAATAATTTTGAATCGAATCAAATAAACTTGTGTATAATGTTAACGAATGCTGAACAATAAAATTAGGGTGAAATTAATTATGATCAGTATATTTTTTTAGTCGCCACTTTTCTTAAATAATCAGTTTGAAAGTATGTAGTCACTTTTATAGATTATAAATGTAATAATTTAATTTTAAATTAGTCATCAAACATGGCCATCAATAACTTGTATGCACAGATCAATTACTTTCTTGTATGGTTGGGTGCTGGTAAACCCCTTTATGTATTTAATAAATAGAAACACTTGGCAAAACATACTTTATTTTAATAAAAAGCACAGAGGTGTTATTTTAAATTGATTTATTTATGTTTAAAAATGGTTTATATATAATGTTTACTTCTTTATCTTGCTTAACACTTTATAATGTATATTTGTTCTAAATTTAAACATTTAGCCCAGTCTCTTAAGGTAGTAAACCCAGGTAAAGGATAATGAACAGTTCTTACAATCTATAAGCCTTAGGACGAATGCTTCTTAGGGAGATTGTGGATGCTATGTCATCCGAACTTCAACGAATTCTTTTTTATTTTCATTGTATAAAACATTTATTTGACCCAGAGTGAAACATTTACTTTACTTTCCTGAATTTCCACTTAAAAATTATTTTTCAACTGGCTAATTTCTTCTTTCAATGAAAGTATTTCTATATTTGATTTGTTGCATTTTTCATTAATTTTGTTTAGTTCTGCACGACTCTTAATAGTTTTCTCTAAAATAATAATTTCATTTCGGTGGTCACATCTGAAACAATAACATACAGTTAATATTGAAATAAAAGCAATAATCACTTCAAAGTTTAATATTTAATAAAAAAATTGTTTTGAAATGATTGTAATGTTAATTAGTACATGCTAAGTTGTGTAATTTTCTTTTCAAAGCCACATTTTTTGTTAATAATGTAAATTTGTACATACGTTTCTAGTTCTGATGATACCAATATATTTTAAGTGTCTGTTTCTAAACTTTGATTCTCCTTGTCCTGGTCTGCAGTTGACAATTGTCTGGAATGCCCCGAAATATTAACAAAGCTCTCAATAAATGTTTGTCAATATCTTTTTGCCTGCCTTCTTAATCTATCGTCACTTTCTGCAGATAATTGTCTTTTTTTCAATGGGAGATTGTCAGTAGGAACTGCCGTTTGTTTTAAGTTTCTGCCAGTCTTAGTGGAGTAGTTTAATAGCCTCTGTTGTAAGGGTATTTCAAATCTATCCTTCGAAAAATGTATGGAACAAATACAAGCTTAAAAAAGAAACAAGACATAAAATGAATCATATTCAAATTAGGTTTGCAAAAATCATACCATTTTTCAAATTAATTGTATCTTTTCACCCGCAACCATTGACCCAGGCTTTGGCTATATATGTTTTCGGAAATCCAAAATACTTAATATTTGTTCCCTTTGTTTTTCTTGAATAGTTCTTGCTGCCAAACACTGCACAACCTGGCATTTTGTTAGTAACTACACACCCTAAAATATAATAGATTTTTATGTACCAATAATATAATAATAATAATGGTATATTAAAATAACAATAATGAATAGAAACTATTTTTATCTTTAAAATACAACAAAAATGTTATATAAAAACTTTATATCAATTACACTACCAACTTAATTAGAAATTAAGGCAAAACAAAAATATGCTTCGAAGGTGACGTCATGCGCAAGAATGACCAAATTTCGTACCGCTTACCGCTTCACCTGTATTGTTCCACCATGGAACGAATGATAAAACACCGATTATAATGGTGGTTCTCTAGAAAAAACCTTTTACCAAAGTCTCAATTTAGTTTTAGGAAAGGATACGGCACATTGGATGCACTCACCACTCTTGTCACTGATATTCAGCATACTCTTTCCAATAACAAATATTTGCCAACACTATCTTTTGATATAGAAGGTGCATATGATAGCGACTGCTTAAAAATTTAAAAAAATAAGGTGGTTACCTTATTCCACATACCTCCCCAACTTGCGGAAACAATTGTTGATTTTCATACACAAAGAAAGTTGTATATAAGAACACATAATAATAAAATTATAGGACCTAAATATAATAGTTCTGGCAGTCCACAGGGTTTTAGTATTGAGCCCCTTGCTGTTTAATATGTGTACGGCCGATTTTCACGAAATCTGTATTAAAAATGAATCTTTCAAAACAATACAGTATGCTGATAATTTTTTTATACATAGCGAATCTAAAAAATATGATTCTGATTTACAATCTTTGGAAGAACTTAAATACTCTTCTAAATGGTTTATAACTTATTATAAGTAACGGTTTTATAATGTCAGCCAGTAAATCTAATGTCCGAATTTTTCTCGACACAATGTCCCAAATATCGAAAAACTAAAATTAAACGGTAACAATTTCCCTTTCTGCAAATCAATTAAATATTTAGGAATGGTTCTTGATAAGAAATTGACCTGGAAACTACATATTGATCATATGCTAGATATATGCAATAGGGGTTTAAATTTGTTGAAATCAATATCGAAAACCTGGAGGGGAGCGGATGTCGAAACTTATTTAATCGATTATACAGGGTGTCATTGAAATAGTGTAAAAAAATTCGGGAGGTGATAGTACTCCTAAAACTAGTAAAAAAAGTTTCTATAACTATGGGTTGTTAAATGCATATTAAGGGATTTAGGGGAGTCAAAAGAGCAAACTTGTAAAGTGGTTTTTTTGAAATTGTAAGCTTAAAAAACACGATAAAACTTCAAAAAAAATCACTGCTGACATAAAATTTACTGCTGAATCCAATGGTAATATCGAAAAATTACTTATTTAATCAGAAAGGGCAGTTATTGCAAAGGTAAGGGGTCGATTTATGAATTACTTTTTAGGGGTTGATTTTTTCACAACATTGGTCTATTTTTTAAAATCTACTACCTTTTTCCATAAAAAAGGTACTCTTATTGCATAAGTCGCTTAAAGCAACCGTTTTCGAGAAAATTGAAGGCAAAGAGTTTGGTAAACCTGTAGTTGAAAAACGAAAAGTAAAATTACTTATTTTCTGATGGGTATCTCACAGATTAATAAACAGAAATTTATGAAAATTGTGACATGTTAAACTAATCAACCTCCCAAAAAACTCATAAACACTAAAGAAAAAAAATATTTTCAAGTAATGTCGAAGAAATTTTATTATGAAAAATTATTTTTTGTCTGTGGGTCAATTTTTTTCTCTCAACTTTACAATCGGAAGGTAAGTGGCAACGCAAACCCCAGAAGAAATTTGTGGGCACGCTACTGTCAATGAATACTTTGTTGTCTTGGGTGGGAGGGGGGTGGCAGCGTCCATGAAAATCGCTCCACAATCGTTACTGGGGGGTTTTCGGGGATGCCTAATTCATTTCCACCATAGATTTCCCCGGGGGTGCTCGGGGGTCCCGCTGTGGGAAATGGTAAAGGATAAAGTGAAAAATCACAAGTTATGAAAATAATACTTTATTCAAATAACAAATAGGAGTTTTTAATAATGTTAAATTATTCATTATCAACTTCAATTTTTAACTTAAATACTAAACACCTTGTTCAAACTCTTCTTCCCCTTCTTTATCTTCTTCCCCTTCCTCATCTTCTTCCTCGTCATTATCCTCGGCCCCGTTGGAAGTGCTTTTTTGGTTTGAGCAATTACCATCGCAATTGTTGCATGCAAGTGAGCACTCCAACCCCTTTCGGCGGCACCCGCACCTCGTGCCACAGTCGGTTTGACAAGAACAAGAAATTTTGCTCAAAATTTCCTCGGGACCGGCTTCCTGGGTCATGGTGACAGGACTGAGCTCTCCATCCACCAATTCCCACCCCTATTCCAACGGATCTATGGTCTCGTCTTGACCTTGTGAACCATACCAAGCCTGTACTTGGAAATAGGCAAGCTCGATAGGCTCGGTTAATGCATTGGCAGTCGGAATTATGCGTGCAAGATCGACTTTTTTATTATTGGAGGCTTTAGCATACATTTTTGCTTGATAGCTTTGGTCAAGCTCAATCGCAGGTTTATCGCTCGTGCGCTCCGTTTTGGGTGCCCCGTAAAGAACCAAAGCTAGGCGAAGCCCGTGATCTATTAAATTGTCCATGGCTACATGTGTTTGCCTAAATATTTCTGCAAACCCATGTAAATCATCGGATTTCTCAAACAAATCGCAGAATGTTACTTTTCCTCGATAGAAAAATGCTGAGGTTGTGTCGCATCCCGTGAAAGTATGTAGAAATAATATATGAGACCTGAGGCACGCGCTTCTGGATGCTAAGCTTTCGGAAGAATACTCAACATCAGGTAATCTAGCGGAAGGCGGCTTCAGCAAGAACACATCTAGATTCGGTGGAGTCCGAGCAGCAAGCATTGTTAAGAAATCAGTGTCTTCCGAAAAAATAACCACTTTATTGTAGTAGCTTCCAGAAGCAGTCTCAATGGCCTTGAGAACAATATCAACATCTGCATCAGCTACACTCTGCTGAGACAATATGTTGAAAGTGCCTTGCATAAAATATCCCATAAAAGATACATACCTCTTCACTATCGCAGCTTTTTATATCTCCAGAAACATCCATTGTTAGTTTAAGTCAATATTTGATTCCGTTGAAAAACAAATCCTCGAACACGTGATCTATTAAAGATCTCACAATAGTGCCAGACACAGCTTAAACACCAAAAAAATGGTTCAAAATCCCAAAGACTTGATCACTCTATTGACGTATACCAAAAAACCCACGTGGTCCAAGAGTGCCCGACATCACTCAAACACCAACAAAGGGCAAAAATCCAAAAAACTTTATTGTTTTAGCACTATATTTACGTGTAACAAAAAACCAACGTGGTATAAGAGTGCCGGACAGAACTCAAACACCAAAAAAGGTCCAAAATACAAGAAACTTTATAACTGTAGCACTGTATTTACATACAAAGAAAAAGCAACGTGGTCCTGAAAGACAGATGTAATACTGATGCAACACAGACGCCGACTACGCACGGGAATCATGGTATTATACCATGGCGGGAATAGAGAAAGGCATCTGGTGGGGCATCGATGGAATTTCTAGACTATTCCATGAAGGGGCCAGATGTTCTTGAGGAAAAGTGAAAGGTACAAAATGTCTATTTTTAAGAAGGTTCAAGAATGTTCAATATTGTTTGGGGGAAGCCACATATATATTTATTTAAAATTCAATCTAAATTTTTATTATTCATACCCCCGGGGAAGTCTAATGCCAGAATTGCATTCGGTATCCCAAAAAACTCCCGAGTAACGAGTTTGGAGCGCTTCCCATGGACTATGTCATTCTGGTATAGCACTTACAACAGATAAACAAATACTAGGGTTATGATATATTGCACTGAAATTATTTTTTGTGGTTTTCGACCTATTGCCCTTCACTTTTACATTCGCAGGGGATAAGACCTTTTGAAATAATAGAATACATATGTTTTTTAATAGTGATAAGACGATGTATTGTAGAGACATAGTAGTAACTATTAGAATGGCGCCAAACAAGCAAAAATACATTTTTTGTGGGTTATGACTTATTGCGCCTAAGCCATCGATATACTACTTAGGTTTAAGAAAAAAATGATAATCTTAAGTCCTCCTCTATCGAATTTATAACCAGCTTGAATCTTTTAAAAATATCTTTACTCTTTAATCCTGTACCTATCCATCATGCGTATTACATAGGCAAACTCCAAGATAAAAAATAAACCATTATAAGCAATTTTGTTTTTTATTTTTTTTCCTATTCCTAAGTACATTTTTATAAATTTAATTTTATCCGCAAAACTAATTTATAAAATCCCATTGTTCATTGAAATGATTATCTATGATTATCGCTTAATTAATACCCATCGATTTATCGTTTACAGTAATCGATGTACCTACACCGCTGTAACTGCAGATTTAAAAATATATAACGATACACCTTGTACTTATTAGATAAAAACCAGCCGCAGACTCCAGTCATCTGGACTAGACACTTATTTTCTTACTGTGTTAGCGAGACAGTGCATCTGCCGCAAAGTTACAGGTACCCACATTTCGTAATGTGGTAAAAATCGACAACTAGGTTTTTAATATGAAGTTTAATAGGAATTTGCCTTCTGCAGTGGGTTACTATGTTGTCTAGTCTAACTAGTACAGGAATGTATTAAGCAGATGCATGAGATTCTTTTTCGTTCGCACTTGCAGATTCACTTTTATCGGCGCTTAATAGTAAATTATGATACATTACTCGTGTAAAATATTTTTTACGAGCACGAATTTTGTATAAATTCTCACTACCTGCTAGCATTAATTTTAGTTAAATATACGACTTGTTGAGTAGTTGATTTAGAGCTGATCCATTGGGTTCACCGACACTTTGCTTACCTCATTATTATCAGTTATGCGCAGAAAAAAATAAAATCTCTATTTAAGTACTTGGAAGATTACACTTTTTTAGAATAAAACACAGTTTGTTATTATTTGAATATTTTTCGATAAAATAAGAAAATAGATAATGTTGAGTCAAGTGTAGGCATAATATTTTATTTGAAAATTTATAATAATTAATCTGAAAGTAGATCAAACCGCATACCAGAGCTGGGTAATTCCTAGATAAAAAGTAATTAATAATTACAATTACTTTTTTTGTGTATTTTTTGTAATTGTATTTAAGTACTTTTTTCTCAAAGTAATTTGGAATTGTAATTGCAGCAAAATCTGTGGATGAATTGTACTTTGTAATTATATTAATTTATATTATTTAAATTGTTTAAATACCATAACTTGTCATAAGTACAATTATTTTTCCAATTACAATTAGTTTTCCAATTAAAATTATTATTTTTTCAATTACAATTACATTTTTTAATTATAATTACTTTTAAATGCGTGTTTATGAGATAGACGTGACATAAAAACAAGAAATTTCCTATTCGAACCGGTCACTAAAGCTCGAACTCGCATCCATATTATTTGTTTAAATGAATTTAAGGAAAATGTTGTGCCGTGAAGCAATGAAATTGTTCAACCCAAAATAATAACAGTAAGGGGTAAATAGATGCAGATATCCTTATGTTTAAGACGTATTTTGTATTTATATTATTGTAAACATAAATTATGTTGCAATAACATTTAAAACTATGAAAATATAGTATGAAGTGGTGCAAATACTAAAAACTTCTTATTTACGTTGTGTAGTTATTTCTAGTTATTATTCTAGTTTTCTACATTAAAATGAAGGATAAACTATTTTAATAAACGTATTCTAAGTTAGTTTAGCATTACAAGTATTTGATTTTAACGTGGAAAATGCAATATTTTAATTAAATTAATAGCCCTTAAATATATTTTATGTTATAAGAGATTATTTGATGTAGATTTATAACCAAATTTGAGTAAAATGTGTCTCATTTTTGTTTTTACGAACAAGATACAGAACGATACATTTAAGATTATTCAATATAATTTTAATAATGTGTACAGGGCGATTCATTAAGGGTGGCGACCGGCCGTATCTCAGAATATCTTAAGTAGAATTTTTTTTAACAGATCGAAAAAACAGGTCGACTTTTATTTCAAGGGGGACACCTTTCTATAATATCCTCAACCGTCATATATGATTCCTCTCCCCTACGTCATTCTAACCAATACAATTTAAATAGGGAAAGTACCAAGCATGACACATCGTCGGAAAGGTAATTTTATGGGGAATTCAGCATATGACTGTTTATAACATTCCTTTTCATTTTAGTGACCTCTAGCGGGATAAAAAAGTATTACCTATGATAAAGTGTGACACTTTATTTAAAAGATAATTTTATTAATACTACAGTCAAAGATATTATAAATACTTTTTTGATTTCAATGAAAGCGTAACACCTTCGGTTGTACAAAAAAATTGGGTACAGTTAGAAGTATTACAATATCTCGATGATTTAAGAAAAAATATTACTGTGCTAGATAGCTACCCCTTAATAAAAAAAGTGTTTTTTAAATATAATACGACACTTCCTTCTTTTGGGGCTGTTAAGAGATTATTCTCCTTTGCCACAATTGTCAATTGTCAAGTTATGCGCTGTCCGACAGAAATTTTGAAAAACTTGTTGTTATGAAAAGTAACAATGTAAATATTTTATGAATAATTATAAATCAGACGTCATTATTTTTTGCCTGCTTGATGAAAAGTAAAAAATATTAATAATTTGACACAAAAGATTTTTCTTACATTCTGTAGTCTACTATTGTTAAAAAATATGTTTCAAGGGTATGATATTTGAAAAATTAGTTTTAAACTTTTATGAGGTATCCCAAGCTTAAACGACAAAAATAAAAATGTATCACATAATTTTTGACGAGAGCTGACTACCGCACCGAATGTAAATAAAATGTTGAGTGTTAACTATTTTATCTTTTTGATTAAACGGCCCCAGACTAATGGTGCCCGATTTGTATGGTATGATTAGGTAAAATATAAAAGTACCTATGCGTAGGTACACGAACTTGTATTTTTGTTCCAAAACAATAAACTTTTAAAAATTCACATTTTATTATTAACTTACCTGTTCCATTTTGTATACTACTTACCGATTTTGTCTTTTGTGCAGTCTAATGTTTGGGGAAATAAGCCCAAAGTGCTAAATGGTGTTTAGCCTGTACCTATGCCATACAAAATTTTTTATGTGTCACCTCAAACCGAGTTTAACTTTAAGTAATATTTATACAACCCGCCCTTAAGATATCTTTAACTTTATGAAATCCTTGAGAAAGGTGTTGCAAATGGCTGTTAGTTTGACACTTTGAATTACCTATTTAAAAATGTTATTTGTACCGGTCCGGATGGTTCATGGTTTATCAATTTCATCGGCAAAATAATTAGAAGAGTAATTATAAGAGTAATTGTTAATTCCTTTTTTCATATAATTGTAATTAAATCAATACAATTCCTATTTTCACTTTCCTATCTGTATACAGATAAGGAAAGTATAGGAATCATGATTTTTTTCGACCTCGAGTTTTCGACGGATTTTTACGTTTTGGGATCCCCTGATGCCGTTTTGACTATTCGCGATAATGTCTTTGTGTGTGTGTATGTGTGTGGGTGTGTGTGTGTGTGTGTGTGTGTGTGTGTGTGTGTGTGTGTGTGTGTGTGTGTGTGTGTGTGTGGGTGCGTGTGTATGTGTGTAAGTATGTGTGTGTGAATGCGTGTGTGTGGGTGTGCGTGCGTGCGGGTGTCTGCGTGCTTGCGTGGGTGTATGTGTATGTGTGCACGTATATGTGTGTGTGTGAGTGGGTGCGCGTGTGTGTGGATGCGCGTGTGTGTGGATGCGCGTGTGTGTGGATGCGCGTGTGTGTGGATGCGCTTGTGTGTGGGTGCGTGTGTGTGTGTGTGAATGTTTGTGTGGGTGCGTGTGGGTGCGTGTGGGTGCGTGCGTATGTGTGTGTGTGTGTGTGGTGTGCGTGGGTGGATGCGTGTGTGTCTGTGTGTGTGTGTGTGTGTGTGTGTGTGTGTGTGTGTGTGTGTG